AGGGGGGCAGTCGCTAGCAGCGGGCGCTCTGGAGTAGGACCGAGCCTCACTGCCGGCGCATGGCAGGCGCGCCGCGGTCACTGGTGCCCAGGAGGTCCCGCGGGTGACCAAACAGTGGGTCAGTCCACCCAGACCCTCTGGCCGGAGACACGCCCCGGGACGTCTGCAGTCTTGGAGGGGGGAGGCTGGGTAGCAGAGCCTGTCCGGGCTTTGTCAGGCCTCCAGACCTGCCCTTGGACTTAGGAAAGTTCTAGAAGGCGAGGAAAGAGGGCAAAGCCATGTGAGCGAGCCTTGGCACCAGCTGTGTTTGGGGCGGGCTTGCTTTGAGGTTTATTCCAGAAGTCAGTCCCCAGAAAGTGGAATGGAGGGTGACCATCTCTGAAGTGACCATCTCTGCGAAGGGCCCAGCCTGTGGTCTCCTGCGGGAAGGGCCCGAGGGGCTTCCAGGATACAGGAGGACTTCTCATTCTGTTGGTTCCCCCCCCCACCGCCGTGTGGCCCCCTTTCCGAATTGCCCCAGACCTTGACGGAAGGCAGTTCCCTGTCACACGCCTTGGCCCCCTCCTGAAACGGGGCGAAGCCGTCTCTCAGTAGCCTGTGGGTGAAGTGACCGAGCACCTGGACTGAGGGGGTCGTCCACTGGTCGGGGGTGGTAGCCTCCAGATGGACAGGCTGCATTCTGGTTATAACCCCGAAGAGCCCCACCTCCGGAGACCCGTGGCCAGCAGACCCACCGCATGGCGTCGTCTTAGCAATTTTCCTGTCGCCTCTTTAAAGTGCAGAGTCAGGGGCTCGTGTATTCACAGGGTTGTGCAGCTGCTGTCACCCTCTAGGTCCAGAGCATTCCGTCACCCCAGAAAGAGCCCCAACCTCGTCGGTGGTCACTCCCACTCCCTCCCCAAGCCCTGGCACTGCCCCACTGCCCCACCTCTGTCTGGACATTTCCCATGCTGCTCACGGCCCCTGCGTGTGGTGTGGGAGAGCTTCTGCTTCCTTCTGGGCCGGCTGTGCTCCGCTGTGTGTGAGCGACGTGTGTGTGCTGCCTGCGCTGCTGTGAATCATGCTGTGAACGTGTGTGTGCAGTCTGGAGCACGTGTATTCATTTTCCTGGTAGACACCCAGGAGTGGGGTGCTGGTGTCCAGCACCGCCGCTGGCCAGGTGTGGACGTTCTGATCTCTCCACGCCCTGGCGCCCCTTGGTCTCTCTGACCGCAGCACCTAGCGGGCAGGGTGGCGCCCCCAGTCCTGGCTTGCTCCCAGGCGACGGGAGCGGCCCTGGGCACCTAGACAGGGCACAGCGGCTGGTGAGAGAGTTGTGTGCTCATTTTCCGGGCAGGGGAGGAGGAGCGTGGACTGGGGACAGGTCAGACAGGCCCCAGATCTGGGGGACTGCTGATCGGGAAGCCGCTGGGGGTGTTTGCTTTGCTGACGCACTCCGGCCTGCCCCTGCCTCGTGGGGGAAGGGCCTTCACCTGGGCCTTGCTGTCCCCCAGGTGAGTGGCATCAAGACGCTGTACGAGTCGGAGCTAGCCGATGCCCGCAGGGTGCTGGACGAGACGGCCCGAGAGCGTGCCCGGCTGCAGATCGAAATAGGGAAGCTGAGAGCCGATCTGGACGAGGCCGACAAGAGGTGGGGCTGCCGCTGGGGCTTTGTGCCGGCGGGGACCCTCGCCCTCCGCTGGCCGCTCGGCCTTCGGGGCCTGTGTCCATCGAGGGGGGTTTGGACACGGGTTCGCGCCAGAAGCCAGCGCGGTAGCATCGCCTGAGCTGCACGCGCCCCTGCCCCTTGCCCACCCCCGGCAGCCCGGGGCCTGTCTCCGGCTCCGCCTGGTCCGGACCCGGCTGACGGGCTCCTCCTGGCAGCCTCTTGGAACCTCCTGGGCGCGGAGCAGAGCGCCGGGTTGGCCCCAGCTGGCCGGCCTTGGGCAGAGCACACGGGCCACCGCCTGTTTCAGAAGTGGCCAGGGAGACCGGATCATCCCCTGCGCTTGTAGCAGTCTTGAACTACAAGGAGCGCGTGCTCCTTGGAGAAGGTTAAAGGAATTCCAGGATGATGGGGAAAAACAGATCTCCACGAGCCTCACAGTCGCCCTGGGCTCACCGTCCCATTTCTTTTCCACCCAGACTTAGAACTGTTGAGTTTCCCCCATCTCCTGAGCCTTGGGTGCTGGGTGAGAGGTGCTGTCCTCACGGGCCTGCCCTCGCCCCAACCCTGGCCTCTGTGCGGGCGCTTCCCCCCGAGGGGCGCTGGGGCTCTTCCTGAGCTCTCGGTCAGGCCACCTGCAGGAGCACCTGCCGCACAGAGTCCAGCCACCGTGACCCTTCTCTGCGTCTGCGTGTCCTTCAGACACAGCCGCTGCTGTCTGCACTCCAGAGAAAGTTCTGCACGCGCAGGGGTGCTTCAGTGTCGGGTGGGGCCGTGCGTCCGGGAACACCAGCTCCACAGAGTGGCAACCAGAGAGGTCCCTGCACATCTCCTCCAGGAATGTGGGCTCTAGCCCCCTCCCCCCGCAAGTGGAACAGCCACACTGCGGCTTCAGCTGAAGAACCCCAAGACCTGGGACGCTGGTGCCGAGCTGGGCAGGGTCCCCAGGGCTGCTGGTGACAGCGTCAGCCTTGTGGCAGGGGTGGCTGGGCTTTACGCCACCTCACCTCACAGGAGCAGGACACAGGAGACACTCCGGCCCCGGCCCTGTGTCTCAGCTCAGGCTGTGTCCCAGCCACAGGGACAGTGGCACTATCTGGGGACATCCCTGGTGTCACACCAGGGGGCAACTGGTATTGAGTGGGTGAGGCCTGTGATGTTGCTCGACCTGCCCCCAGACAGGGAGCTTTGTACCCAGGGCCCAGGGCCCCTACTGAGGGAGCAGCCTGCCCTCGAGGGCCCCCGCCTGCTAACTTCTGCTGTTGACTTCCAGCTCCAAGAAGAGGGAGGGGGAGCTCACGGTGGCCCAGGGCCGCGTGAAGGACCTGGAGTCCCTGTTCCACCGGAGCGAGGCGGAGCTGGCCGCTGCCCTCAGTGACAAGCGCAGCCTGGAGAACGAGGTGGCTGAGCTGCGGGCCCAGCTGGCCAAGGTAGGCACTGGGGCCTCAGTGGGCACAAGCCCCGTGAAGATGGGCACGTTCAGGTGCTGGGCCGGCGGCCGAGGGCCTGGCAGGTGAGAGCCGCTGCCCTGACGCAGTCAGACTCCCCTTTGGAGCTCATAGATGGAAGGGGCTCCGTGGCCCGGGAACCGCGTGCTCCAGCAGGAGATTGTCCTCACTGTCCACCCCCTAGGCAGAGGACGGCCACGCGGTGGCCAAGAAGCAGCTGGAGAAGGAGACGCTGATGCGCGTGGACCTGGAGAACCGCTGCCAGAGCCTGCAGGAGGAGCTGGACTTCCGGAAGAGCGTCTTTGAGGAGGTGTGTCGCTGGGCGCCCAGCCTGGGCGGCCCGTCCCGGCAGCGTCTCGAAGCACCACAGGCAGGCGCCGACACGCAGCGGGGCTCTGTCCTCCTCCAGCCTGCTGCCCCGCGTCCCAGCTCAGCGCAGTGCGGCGCCTTCTGGGCGCTCCTGTCTCTTACAAGGACGTTGCCCGATAATCCAGGCAGCTCTCACCTCCAGACCCTTCACTCTGTGAGGCCCATTTTCCAAAGGCCCCACTCAGGGTTAGGATGTAGGCACAGCTTTGGGGGGCCACCACTCATCCCAATACACATGCCTCTGTCAGAAAGAGGGGCCCCGTCTCTGGCTCATGGCACCTCCCATGTCATCACAGAGCCCATTGTGCTGTCAGGTCCCAGAGCGGAACTCGGGGGCCAGCCAGCACCTGCAGCTACTGCCCGGGAGCCGCGAGCAGGCAGGATGCCCATGCGGCTGAGGAGCGCCCTTGCGCGCCAGCCAGTCCCTGCCCGGGCCTCGGGGGCCACGAGGGGTGCCCACAGGGAACCTGCGGGGGGGCCGGGGCCGGTACTCGTGAAGGCTCCCATGGGGGAACCTGCCGAGGGGCCCTTGAAGGAGCCTGTGAGGGGAATTGTGAAGGGAACAGTGCAGAGACTCTGGAGGGGGAGGCTGAGGTGGGCTTTGAGGAGCTTCCAGCGAGAATCTGTGAGGAGAACCACCAGGAGGCCCTGGCAGAGAGCTGTGGGGGGCACCATGAAGGTGGGTGCTCTGGTGGTGGGGCTGGGCAGGGTCCCCGGGGCCACGAGGTTCACCAGTTCTTGGTTTTTACCCGTGTGGCAACATGTGACGGGGGCGCGCGGACGGGGTGCCCTGTCTCCTGGGGCCCGGGTCTGTCCGAGGGCAGTGCCAGCGAGCTCCGGTCCCCCGGCCGCCTGCTTGACGTGGTGGTGGCAGCGGCTGCGTGGGCCAGGCCCACGGCCGGTTTAGCCAGGGCGCACCCCCACGGGTGTCCAGGGCTGGTCTCGCGGCCCCCGAGTCTGGTAGCCCTGGGCTCGTTTCCTGATAGCAGCTTGACACGCGTCCCCCCGTAAGCCTTCAGGTTCCAGTGGGTTAGACTGTCCTCACAGACCTGTCCTGTATTTGCCCGCACGTTCGTTCCTATTTAGCATTCTGGGTTTTTTTTCTAACTCGGCTTTTCATAATTTGATAAAAGTGAACCACTCGAAAGCATGCAGTTTAGTGGCATTTAGTACATTACCACTCAAAAGAAGTCCCCGGCCCTCCCCCCGCACGTGAGCGTGGCCCCGCTGTCTGTGGGACGTTCCTCGTCAGTGGGCTCACCCTGTGGGCCGAGCGGCCTTTTGGTGGCTGCGTACTGTGCCACACTGTAGTCAGTGTGTGCAGACTCGTCGTATTTTGTCCTTCGTTCGCTAGCGGACATTTGCATTGTGGTGTCCACTGATGGTCGCGTGGCTGTGCGTCCACGGTGGTGGCTGGGTAGCGACTCCCGGAGGTCGTCGTTCCGAGGGTTTGAGGCCCGGTTTGGGCCTTTGCTTGGGTGAAGAGCACTGGGGGCCGGGCCGGGCTGGTGGCCCCGGCCGCCGCGGCGCCTCCCTGACCGCCCCTGTGGCCGCGGCAGGAGGTGCGGGAGACGCGGCGGCGGCACGAGCGCCGCCTGGTGGAGGTGGACAGCAGCCGGCAGCAGGAGTACGACTTCAAGATGGCGCAGGCGCTGGAGGGGCTTCGCAGCCAGCACGACGAGCAAGTGCGGCTCTACAAGCTGGAGCTGGAGCAGACCTACCAGACCAAGGTGCGGCGCGGCGCGGCGGGCGCGGCCGCGTGGCCCTGCCCTGCCGGCACCGGCCGCTCACCGTCCACCCGTGTCTCCTCAGCTGGACCACGCCAAGCTGAGCTCTGACCAGAACGACAAAGCGGCCAGCGCTGCCCGGGAGGAGCTGAAGGAAGCCCACATGCGGCTCGAGTCCCTGGGCTACCAGCTCTCTGGGCTACAGAAGCAGGTGACCGAGGGCGCCGGGCCCCAGGGCGGGGGCCGCCTCTGCTCTGCGGCCACCCCGTGGCTTGCTGCCTGGGCCCAGAGCACTGACTAGCCCCGCCCCCGGCAGCCGGCGTCTGGCCTCCACCCGTGGGGGGGCCCTGCCCCCGCTGGGGAAACAGGACAGAGGCCACAGTCCCTGGGCTTTCCTCCAGGCCCAGCACTGGCCAGCCTGCACTGACCCCACCTGGCCGACCTCCTCTCACTCCCCAGGCCAGTGCCGCTGAGGACCGGATCCGAGAGTTAGAGGAGGCCATGGCTGGGGAGCGGGACAAGTTCCGAAAGATGCTGGACGCCAAGGAGCGGGAGATGACCGAGATGCGGGACGTGATGCAGCAGCAGCTGGCCGAGTACCAGGAGCTGCTGGATGTCAAGCTGGCCCTGGACATGGAGATCAACGCGTACCGCAAGCTGCTAGAGGGCGAGGAAGAGAGGTGGGCGCGGGCGGGCGCCCCAGGGCTGAGGAGGGAAGGGACTGGAGAGGGTGAGGAGGTGCAGTGAGGTGCGGGAGCAAGAGAAGTGGGTCAGAGGGGTGAGAAGGGGACCCGGGGAGAGCAGCGGAGGGGCAGGGTGAGGGCCGGGCCGGGCAGGGCTGCTGCCGCTCTGTGGACGACCGTGTGCCGCCCGGCCCGCCTGTCCTGGGCCGCTGCCCCAGTCAGGCCCGGCCGGCTGGCTCTGGGCCTCTGCCAACTGCCGCCCTCTCCCCCCGGCAGGCTGAAACTATCCCCCAGCCCCTCATCGCGGGTGACCATCTCTCGGGCCACTTCAAGCAGCAGCGGCAGCAGCGTGTCCACCGCTGGGCGCTCAGGCCGCGGCAAGCGAAAGCGGCTGGAGGCAGAGGAGCCGCCGGGCACGGGCTCCAGTGGCATCGGGACCGGCAGCAGCAGCAGCAGCAGCAGCTTCCACCTGGCCCAGCAGGCCTCGGCGTCAGGCAGCGTCAGCATCGAGGACGTCGACCTGGAGGGCAAGTTTGTGCAGCTCAAGAACAACTCAGGCAAGGTGAGAGCCAGCAGGGGAGGTCCCGGGGGTCATGTAGAGCTGTGTGTCAGGCGTCTGTCTCCCTGCCAGGATCAGTCCCTGGGCAACTGGAAGATTAAGAGGCAGCTGGTGGAAGGGGAGGAGATCGCCTACAAGTTCACGCCCAAGTATGTGCTGCGGGCTGGCCAGACCGTCACGGTAGGTGGCAGCAGCGGGACAGACGGGCCACTGTTGGGGGCTGGGGCTGTGCTCTGGCCAGCCCTGAGAACAGCCACCCGCTGTCTGGTCACGGTGACCTGTGTGGCTGTGGCCGGGTCCCACGGCGGAGGGGATCTGCACAGGCGGGCGTTAAGTCCAGTGGTGGGGGCCCCAGATCCCGGCCTGGCCCGCTGCTAAGATGAGCTCTCGGCCTCGGGGAGCCTCCGTCTCTTCTCCTAGCCTGGAGACCGTCACCAGGGTCGGGCCAAATAGGGCCAGAAGGCCTGAGTGCCAGGGGCATGGAGGGAGACTGTTGGTCCTTGCCTGGGACCCAGTCGTGGTCAATGACAAGGCCCTTCTTTGTCCCTAGGTGTGGGCAGCTGGTGCGGGGGTGGCCCACAGCCCCCCCTCAACACTCGTGTGGAAGAGCCAGAACAGCTGGGGCGTGGGCGAGAGCTTCCGGACCGTCCTGGTCAATGCTGACGGGGAGGTGGGTACCTGGGCTGGATGGGCAGGGGCGGGCACTTTTTGTCCCAGACCTGGGGTCCACCCAGCACAGTTCCGCTGTTTGGGGCAGGAGCTCTGAGGTGAGCTTTGGCCAGCAGGGCCGACACAGGCAGCCCTGGCCTGGCGTGGGGTGAGCTCGGCCACCCCGCTCTCGCCGCTTGGCTAGTGTCGGGCTCTCGTCTCCACCAGGAAGTGGCCATGAGAACCGTGAAGCAGACCTCCGCGGCTCGGGAGACTGAGAACGGGGAGGAGGGAGAAGAGGAGGAAGCGGAATTCGGGGAAGAGGATCTTTTCCATCAGCAGGTAGGCGCCTGGGCCGCACGCACGCACACGCACGCATGCTCCCAGGTGCCGTGTCTGGGCTGCAGCTAGACCGAGTGCTCAAGTGTCCTCCTGACGAGACACCCGTGACCGGGAGAGACACAGCCCGGGAGCCACCCCTTTGTTAGAGGGGGTCACGCAACTGAAACATAAGAGTTGCGATGTGTGGCCCAGAGCAGAGGGGAGGACGACACGGAGTGTTCCGAGCCCCGGCCCCGTCATCTTGAGAGCTGAGCTTTCAGCCCTCCCTGCACGGGTCGTGGGTACAGCCAGCCACCTGCCTACTCGCGTGGACACAAACCCCACCTAACTGCGCTGTCCTTCCTTCCAGGGGGACCCCAGGACCACCTCTCGAGGCTGCCGCGTGATGTGAATGGAATTTCCTCCTCACACATCTCTTCCCAGAGCCACTGAAGACTATTTTTATATCATTGGCTTTGTTTAGTCCTTGATATATTTCTAGAAAATTTTTAAGCAAACCTCCAGGGTGTGGGGGTGGGTCTCTGTCGCTCTTTCTGTGGTGGACGCTCACTGTCTGCATCACCACCGTCAAGACTTTTTTGGTGCCCATTTCACCATGTGGTTGAACTCAAGACCCAGGAACCTGACGCAAGAAGGTCGGGTGGTGGGCGGGCCTGGCGGGCCCTTGGGGCCGTCCTCTGCCCTCCCCCACCACAGACAGGCAGGGACAGGCGAGGGCCTATGTGCGTGACATGGTGATTGAGACCGTAACCGTTGTCTTTTTAAAGCTTTTTTAAAAACCAGGTTTAGAATCCGGTTCAACCTGGTGGTAGGCAGGGGCATCGCCAGAAATCTACGTAATTTTACGTAACACGTGAATCAGTTTGGAATGAGCAGCCGGGAGTCAGGTTTTTACCATCCCGTCCACCACCGTCCCTACTCTGCCCACCCGCGTCACGATGCTCTGGGGCCTGCCCTTCCGCAGTTGAGTTCTTCAGCCGCAGGACAGCAGGGCCTGAGGGAAGCGGCCTGGGGAACAGACAGCCCCCCGCTGAGGCGTCACCCAGGTAAATAAATGTCAAGGGGCCGAGTCTGGTCCCCTCAGAAGCACTTGCCAGTTTGAGAACAACAGTCCACATGCAGCCACGCTGGGGCCTCCCATCAGGAGGACAGTGACTGACTTCCGGGAGAGCCCTTGGACTCCGTTTTCCGACTCTGTGCCTTGTGCATGGGGCTGAGTGACCCCTATTTCTATATATATTCTTAATGCATATATCGATGTTGTAGCTTTGATCTGCCCTTTCCTTGCTAAAATTGTTCCTCAGACAGACACGCCAGTCTCGTCATCCTCTGGCCGGCGCTAGGCCTCTGGCACCCCCGTGTGCATTAGCTCACCGTTTACACCTCCTTCCACATAGATACACAGAAGTTATTTTTTTAATGGATATTTATTTTTTTACATGGGTCAGTACACAGATTGCCGGATCCCACGCCAGGGTTCACACCAGGGCAGCCCCGAGCCGTGGCATAGGGGGTGCCTGTCTCTGGACCCCCACGTGGCAGCTCTCCCCCTGCAGAAAGTGCAGCTCGAGTCTTAAAGATGCAACACTGAGCCTTGAAGGTGTGCTGTCCCCCAGACAGCCTGAGCAAGTTCTGGCCTTCGGCGGTCACTCTGGGCTGGGGGCGGCACGCCTGCCTTCCTGCCCATGGCCAAGTGTCCGGCTCTCCCTGGGAATTGCTGATGATGAGGAGCCAGAGATTGAGCCCCAGGCCACGAGAGTGCCGTGGTCAGTAGATGCCGCTGCATGTCGGAGCTGCCTGCAGCGCTTGGTTTTAAGTTCTGGGTTCTTCCCTGACCCAAGTTCTGTTTTTCCCCTGCAGAGGGAAATGCCCTACCAAAGGACTCCCTCCCCGAAGTGTAGACACCACCTTGTTGGTGTGCACCTGGCGTGTTGCCAGCTCGGGGGGGAGGGGGCACCGGTGCCCCCACTGGCTTCTTATGCCTGCCTGCCTGCCATCTCCCTGTAAGCCGGCCCATGTGGACCGTGAAGGGTCTGCAGAGCAGGTGCCACTGGTGAGCGTGGGTCTTGGCCCCAGAGACTGGAGGGTGCACTGATCTCAGCCACACCCTTCACATTATTTTGGACTCTGGAGGGTCTACGTTGTGTCTGGGATGGGGGTTCTAGGATTTGCTGAAGTGGTTTTGCAGGCTGAGCGTGTGAACGGGAAGGGAAGGGTACACACGCTCCCTGAGGACCCCAGATGCGTGGATGGGGGGCTAGCTCTCACATCAAAGTTCTGCTGGCCTGCCTGGCTGAGGTCTTGGGAGGTGGCCCAGTCCCTGAGGTGCCCTGCACTGGTGGGGACAGCGGAAGCCGGCTGGGTACCCAGTTAGCAACAGCCATTGGTAATGAAGTTTTGGGGGACCGAGTAGAGTTCATTGTTGAAATGACTGTGGTCTGGGAGCTGCGCATGTGTCCTTGGCCTGCTTCACTTTAAGCCACTTAAAGTAATGCAGAAGGATTCTTTTGTTTAAGCCCCACCACGTGACTGCTAGAGAACGGACCGGCCAGTCCAGCAGTGGGGCGCTCGGCCAGCCACCTGGTCGCAGCTACTTCCCGTCGAGGACGGGTTTCCGCCCTCCCGCAGCTGCCTGTGGAGGGCACCGAAGGCCCCGCGTCGAGTCGCCAGGACAGCGTGGCAGCGGGAGCCGCCGCGTCGTTTATAGGCGCTGCATGCCGAGCGTCTTCCCACTGGTTTGTAATATACATTTTATGACTGGAACCTTTTGTACGCCACTCCAATAAACGTTTTGGTTTTAAGTGCTGCCTTCGCCTGCTCCGCCGCCCCAGCGCCGGTCCCGGGCGCCCCGGCCCCGAAGTGTCGCTCGAGGCTCTCCCCGCGGCTCCGCGAGCGCGGCGACTCCGAGGGCGGAGCCCAGGCCCCGGGCGACGCCCCGGCCTCGCGCCCAGCGCAAGCCTCGCCCGAGACCGCCCGACGCCGCCGCGCTCGGCCACGGCCGCTTCGGGGCGCCTGCGCGCAGAGCCCCGCGGCCTCACGGGAGTTGTAGTCGCCCCGCCCACGGCCCTCCGACTGCCTCTCCCGCGGTGCCCCGGGCGGCCGGCCGGCTTCCGGCGCAGCTACGGGTCGGCGCATGCGGCCTCAGTCCCGTTGACTGCGGCGCCATGGAGGGCGGCTTTGGCTCGGATTTCGGGGGCTCCGGCGGCGGCAAGCTGGACCCGGGTCTCATCATGGAGCAGGTGAAGGTGCAGATCGCCGTGGCCAATGCGCAGGAGCTATTGCAGGTGTGGGACGCGGACCGGGGCTGGGGCCGAGGGCGGGGGGCTGCCGGGGCGGACTGCGGCTCAGGGCTCGCCTGTTCCCACAGAGGATGACAGACAAATGCTTCCGGAAGTGCATCGGGAAACCGGGGGGCTCGCTGGACAATTCGGAACAGGTGAGACCCACGAGCGCGACGTAGTCATGGGGCGTCGCGGCGGGGTCCCCTGCGCGTGCGCACTTCGCTGTCCCGGGTTGGGGGGAGGGCTGGCCGGCTCGCCTTACCTGGGCGCCCTCCCTACCTGCAGAAGTGCATCGCCATGTGCATGGACCGCTACATGGACGCCTGGAACACAGTGTCCCGCGCCTACAACTCAAGGCTGCAGCGGGAACGGGCCAACATGTGACCGCGGGAGCCCCTCCAACAGGCGGCCCCCCAACAGGTCGCCCCCACCCCGTTTCATCTCCATAAGTGCTCGTCTTGGGGACCAGCGAGTGCCCTACTGCTGGGACAGTTGTGATTTCGCAGCCCTCCCAAACCTGCCAGCGAGTGTATCGTGGCTCTTGGGGGGCCCTGGAACTTTCAAAAGCGCTAGCCATCTGGCAGGACCTCCCCTGGTGGGCCCAAGTCAACCTCATACCCTGGGTATTGAGTTGTTGAGGGGTGGGGGACTGGGTTGTGACGTCCAGGAGCCAATAAATTAGAGGACAGGTGGGCAGAGAGAACCCTGTGTGTCTTCACTGCAGGGGGCATCTGGGGAAAGATGCCCTTTGACACTGGTACCTAGCTCATCCATCGGAACCTCTTTCTTCCCGCCCTTCACCCCCTGCCCACTCTGGACCCCTGCTGGGGGGGGTCCTTTCCAAGACGTGTAGATATGTAGCCAGCAGGTGAGGAACCAGGGGCTGTGTTTATTGCAACAAAATATTCAGTAAACCATCTGCAGCCCGGTCCCACCCACCACCTGGACTCCCCCTTTGGGATTGGCCACGCTCCTGCCTTTGCATCTCTGGTCCTGAGTCTGGGCGGCCACGTGGTGGTCATTCCTGGATGTTCTGCCCGATCCAGCCCCGCACAGCAGCCACCCGGGTATAGACACCTGGGAAATGGGGCCGGCCACAGCCATAACCCCAGCTGGTAACCCCGGTTAGCACCCATCTGCCGGAAGACTCCCTGCAGGCGAGGGGTCCCCCAGCATCACCCTGAGAGGAGAGAGAAAAGGTTCTTAGAGGGGGCCGGAGGCCCCTCCGCCGCAGCCTGGGACCGGGGAGCGTGCCCGGGTTTCCTCTGCCTGGCAGACACGGACACCAGCCGCCGGCCCCCGAGCCAAACAGAACCTCGCCGCAGCCACTGCCTGCGGGAGAGGCCAGGAGGCGGTAGAGGGGGGTCTCAGAGTGGGTGCCCGTAAGTGGTTATCTGTCCGGTGGGTTTTCCTCAGGCTTAACCGGGAGCTGCGTGAGTCGCCTCGAGACGTGTGCACCTGAGGAGGGGCCCGCGGGGGGCTGGGAGCCGGGAACCTGGCCCTCCCGGTGGCCTGTCAGCCCCCTGCTTCCTCTGCCCCGGGCGTCCCCAGCTGGAAGGGCAGGCCTCACCGAGCAGCTGTCCACGCCGCCGTGCGGGAAGCCTGCGCACAGCATGCGGCTGCTGATCTGCACCGGGTAGAAGCGGCGGCAGGCCTGCTCGCTGAGGAGGCGCACGGCCGCCTTCTGCAGCCGCCGCGCCGCGGCCCCTGGTGCGGGAGCGCGGCTGAGACTGCGGCGTCTCCCACCTTTCCTTTCCCCGCTGCCCCGCGCGGGTCCCCGCCCCAGGGTGCCCGGCCCCCACCGCACCTACCTCCCTCTCGCAGCGAGCCCCAGCCGGTGATGACGCAGCGGGTGCCGTCGGGGGGCCGAGGGGCCGCTTCGGGCAGGCAGATGGGCCGCACCAGGCGGCTGCGGCGCACGGGCCCCGCCAGCTCCAGCAGCGCCACGTCGTAGTCCAGCGTGTACAGGTTGTAGAAGGGGTGCTTGTAGATGCGCGCCACCCGCGCCAGCTGCCCGTCGGCGCCGCCCAGCAGCGGCGTGCCCAGGAAGGCCGCCCACTGCGTGGGGTCCCCGTAGCTGGCAGGCGTGCGGGGACAGGCTTCAGCCTGGGCCCACGTGGCAGGGGCTTCGCGTGTGCCCCCAGGGCAGGTGCTGGGCCTGGACCCCAGTTACCCAGACACTCCCCGTGGCCTGCAGGCTAGGCTCGATGCCCTGGGGGTGTGGGGTGTGCCAGGCCGACCTCCCCCCCAGTGCTGTGTGGTCAGCTCAGAAGAGCCAAGGGCGCCCCGTGACCCCATGACCACATGCCCCGGCGGGAGGGGCTTTTGGGGCCGGCGGGACTCACACGTCGAAGCAGTGCGCGGCGGACAGCAGCCACCGCTCGGCCACCAGCACAGCCCCGCAGCGATGCTCCCGGCGTCGCAGCCACAGGCTGACCTGCCACGGCCACTCCCCGTGGCCCGCGGCACTGCCGCCCACGATCCTGGTCAGTCCCGCCGCAGCCGGTGCCAGTCCGCAGTCTGCGGGGAAGCCAGCTCCAGTCAGCAGAGGTGGGGGCAGGCCCCCCGGGGCAGCCGGGACCGCTGCTGGCCCCCGACTCGGCCCCTGGGCTTTCCTCAGGTCACGCTGGCGGTGCCTTTCAGTGTGCTCCCCAGAACCTCGCGTTGGCCAGTCTCGCTGAGTCAGCGGGAGCTGCCTTCGGAGCCCTCTGGAGCTCTAGGTCCCTGGGAGACCAGTGCCCTTCCCGATGCCGCCTGCAGGCTGATGCCCCAAAGCCCACGTCTGCCCTCCCCGAGCACCCTCAGGACACCGGTGTCAAGACGCCCGTGGCAGCGGCCCCCGCGGGGTGCCTGGGTGCGGGCTGATGGCTCCCGCAGACCTAGCTGCCGCCCCTCCCGGCGGCGTGGGGAGCCCCTTCGGCCCAAGGCTGAGGGAACCACGGGGCTCACCTCGTCTCCTGCCAGGCACCCGCCGGCCTCCCACGCCATCCTCCTTCCTCAGAGGACCCCGCACCCCTGGCAGAGGCACCCCGGCACTGGCCCCTGCTCACGGGCTCATTCCCGCCGAGACCAGGGTGGGGAGCTGAGGCAGGGGCCGGCCGGCGGAGCCGCCCACCTAGCGCAGTCCGCGGCCAGGGCGGCCAGCGCTTGCCCTCACTCCGGAGCCGCGGGCGTGGCACCTGCCAGCTTATCCTTGAGCCCTGTGGAGGCGGCTGCATGAGATGGGATTTCACTTTGACCTACAGATAGGCAGCTTGGTCCAGTTCTGATGGACATTTAATAAAGATTGACGCTTCGTCCGCGAGTGGAAAGGTCCCAAGGGCACGTTCTCTGCCAGCAGCCCTCGTGCGTGTCACAGGTCGCCAAAGGGCATGTTCTGGGGCGTGGTGGCCCTGACCGCCTGCCGGGCGCCCGCAGGGCCTGGCCGTGCCGTGTCACCCGGTGGCCTCTCAGGCCGTGTCCCCATTGCTAGGGACGTGTGGCTGCACTGCTCTTGCCTCTGCGCTCAAGCTGGGCCCACAGCACCCCGTGATGGCTCCTGTGGGTCCGGCACCCCAGCCCCCTCGCTTTGTCTTGCTCCCCCGTGTGATGCCGTGTGGCCGCGCTAAGGGTCTGGCCCTCTGCCCCCCGGTGCTCACACGGAAGCCGAGAGGAGGCTTTGCGACTGCTGGGGGTGGGGTGACTCGCCCCCTGCCCTTGGGAGCCCGTCCGGGGCCCCACAGCCCCCTGCCCACGGACACGCTGCAGGACACGGCTTTGCCCAGGTGCTGTGCGTGACCCGCGTCCCACTGTCAGGACATAGCAGGGCCCGCCCGTTTCCCCAATTCATGAGCTGACGCCAGGACACGACTCAAGCAGGTTTTAAGTAACTAAGCTGAAAGGAGCCCATTGGGTGAATCTAATCCAACATGGCTGCCGGAGGTGGGGTCAACACGCAGGTCGCTTGAGGTCAGCAGGTGGCCGGCGGCCCCCACGCGCCCAGGAGCGGCGCCCAGGAGACGCCCCACTGCGCCGGACCGGCTCCGGACAGCGGACTGTGCTGCCCGAGCCGGGATGCCCAGGCCCCGCCCGGGGTCACTCCCTCCCTGGTACCTGGCAGCTGGGGGCCCCTGGTGGTCTCTGGGGCCTCGGCCAGAGGCGTCTGCTGCCGAGTGGAGGTGCCCAAGGCTGCGGCTGTCCTGTTGGCAGGCTGGCTGGTGGCTCCGCTGGTGAGCCCAGGGGCGGGTCTGCCGGTGGTAACCCAGGGGGCCGTGAGCCCCGCCAGTGTCCGCGGGCTGCGGCTGGCAGCGGTGGGCATCCTGGTGGGGGAGGGCGCCGGCGTGGGGCGGGGGCGGGGAGACATGGCGTCCAGGATCCAGCCCTTCATCCTGGTGATCCTGGCGTACACGCCGGGCTTCCTGGCCTGAGCACAGCCGATTCCCCAGCTCACAATCCCCGCCAGATAAAACACGCCGGGGGTCTCCTCACAGGCCAGCGGCCCCCCAGAGTCACCCTGGAAAGAGGAAGGAGGGCTGGCTGACCATCCCGAGCCTCCCAAGACATTCGGCCTCCAAACTCCGTGAAGCTCCGAGGTGTGAGCGTGCCTTCCCTTCTCTGCTGCAGGTTAGGGTGAGCAGAAGGGGAGGACGGCGGAGGCTTCGCCCAGAAGCACCGCGAGCTGGCAGCTCACCTGGCAGGAGTCCACGCCGCCCTCCAGGAAGCCGGCGCACAGCATCCTGTCAGTGAGGGAGAAGTTGTACAGGGAGCTGCAGGCCTTCTGGTCTATGATGCCCACGGACGCTCGCTGCAGAACGTCAGGCTTGGTGGCTGCAGGAAACACCGCTTAGAGGGCTGGTGGCACCCCCTGTCTGCCCAGCCCCCCCAGGAGGCCGAAGCTCGGGACTGGGGAGAAGGCCCTGCTCCTGGAGCCGGACTGGGCCCAGGGACCCCCCACCGCGGGTTCCCCAGCACCTCGGGGAGGTTGCAAGAAAACGTGAACTCTCAGGGGCCCTGAAGGGGATAGCATGAGGGTCGTCAACATTTCTGTGAAGGCCAGAGAATAAATGTTTTCCCTCTCAGGGGCCAGCAGCCTCTGTGGGCACCACGCAGGCCCGTGTTGGCAGCAGGAAGCAGCCCCCACGCACGGTCTGCACAGCAGTGGGCTGGCTGCGGGCCAGCACAACCTCTTCACACCGGCAGCTCACGGCGTCTTCCGCCTCTGGCGGGGAGGGGAGCTGAGGAGTTTGCAGATGGTGGGGGGAGACAAGGGGGGCCGGGGGCCCACATACCCTGCCCTGGCCCAGAGCTCACCGTTCCCCTCCTGTGTGTTACCCCAGCCAGAGACCACGCACTTGCGGCCCGCGGGGAACTTGTGGATGGCCAGAGGCAGGCAGACTGGCTGGACGTGCTTGTTGAAGACCAGGGGCCCCGCCAGCTCCAGCACCGCCACGTCGAAGTCCAGGATGGCCGGGTTGTAGTGGGGGTGCAGCAGCACTCTCTTGAGCCCCATCTTCACTGGACTCCCCCCGATGCCCGAGAGGGATGCTGTGCCCAGGTGGGCCCGCACCTGCTCCGCCTTTGTGCTGCCAACAAAGGTCGCTCAGACACCCGCCAACAGCCCCACCCCGGGCAGTCGGGTACTGCTGCGGGGCGCAGGTTACTTTTCAGTCCCTCAGTTCTGGGGTGGGGGAGAGAAGGGGTCACCGAGCTGCTTCCCCAAAGTGGGCCTAGCCTGGGAGGGCGGCTGGCAAGGCAGGGAGGACCTGTGCCTGGTGGCAGCAGTGAGGGGCCCCGAAGCTTTAGCACCACTGAAGGCAAAGCCGCTGGCTCTGGAGCGAGGGGACGCCCAGGCCCCCGCCCCCACGGCCCCTGTGGCCTCCAAAGACCAGCTCGACACTTCCCCCAGAAGCTGAAGCCCAGGTCCAGGTGCTGAAGACGACACCCCAGGCCCCCACGCCTCCCTCCCGGGTAAACCGAACATCCAGACCCCTGGGCCGTGAGCCTGGGAGGAGGCGCTGCCTCTGCCGAGGCCCCACCACGCCTGGGCAGCAGGTGTGGGGATGCTGGGGGCCTGAAGGGGTTCTGAGCACCCCGCCAGGGCTGAAGAGGCCTTACTGGTTGAAGCAGTGTGCCGCGGACAGCAGCCAGCGGTCGCCCACCACGGTGGCGCCACAGAAGTGCCGGGAACCTTCCTTCAGGCTGACCTGCCAGGGCACATCCCCATGCGCGGCTCCAGACCCGCCCACGATCCTGGTGGGCTTCTCCACAGCCGGCCTGGCCCCGCACTCTGGGAGGGGACAGGAGAGGGAGGAGAGTTACCGGCGCAGCTGTGCCGCGGAACCGTCATCCTCACTATACAGAGGGCAGGTGGAGTCTGAGGTGCCCTGAGGTCTCCTGACCAAGGACCAGCATGGCGGGAGGACGTAGGGTCCGGACCCCTCAGCCGAACCTGCTAGAACAGCCCTGCAGCCCCACAGTCAGGGCACAGGCGAGCTGCAAGGCGGCCTGGACACAGCAGAGCACAGGGGGGCCCCCAGAGTGGGGACTCGGATGCTTATGGGGCCTGGGGAAAGGGAGAGATGTGGGGGACACTACCTCACTGGGTGAGGTAGACAGCTTCCGGGATCCGAGCCACCGAGACCCCGGCGAGAAGCGGTGTTCCCTTCGCACTTAGGGGATTCAGAGCGTCAAAGCTCTGGCGCTGCCAGAGAACAGGGTTTTCGTGGGGAAAGCGAGCAGCACCCCAGAGTGCCTAGGCGAGAACACGGGCTCCGGGGAAGCAGATTGCTTCACCCATGTCTGTTCTCTGGAGGGGTGCGGTCCGCTTGCTCCATTTGGAACGGTAGTTGAAGATGGAAAACATGGACAAGCTGTAGCACCAAGTAGGAGTCGGGATGATGGGTTACAAAGGAGTCTTTTAAAATGTCAGGAGCTCTCAGTGTTACTTGTTTGTAGAAATTTAGAAAAGGCCAAAGGGAAGCTAACTTCTAGCTCCAGCTTGCCCTTGAAAAAGACATTTCATCACTGAGGATCTGCAGCAGAGGCCTAGCGGGAAAATCCCAAAGTTAAGCACAGCCAGATTAGACACCGGACTCCCAGGGAGCCTGCCCGGGCCCCTCTGCAGTCTGGAGGACAAAGCAGACACAGATCATTCTGGCTGCGAGAAGCAGCCATTTGCACTGTCCACAAAAAATAGATCAGGGGCATAAGACCTAGTGTCCTGGAAGCCTTAGAAGAAAAATAGGTGTAAATCTTTCCTGGTCTTGTAGACCAGGAAAATCCAGGAGAAGCAACTGCAGAAACTGGGGACAGACAGAATTCTGAGTGCTGTCCAGCTACCAAGCAGTTGAAAGCACACAGACGCTTATTCTATCTATTGCAGCATCGCCACGGCGAGGCAGCAGGCAGGAGTGTGTGGCAGGGAGGTGCCGGTAAGGGCCACTCAGCAGAAGGTGGACATAAGCCGAAAGATGCACCTTGTCCTGAGAGGAAGCCTTAAACATTTGAAGGTTTTGGGCCCTGCCTGGTGGCGTGACAGGTTAAAAGCTCAGCACTGAGAAGCTGCAGCCACTTCAGCAGGAGTTTGATCCCCGCCCGCCCCAGAGGTGACCCCCAGGGCACGGCAGACCTCTCCTGACCCGCCCGCTGCTCCCCTCAGCCAGGCGCTTCATCCGTCTGCCTGTTCTGCTCCCCACTCTGTCTCTGGTGAATCTTCTCACACCCCCCCCCGCACCTCTGACCTGCACCCCAGTTCCGTATGCATAAGTAAATAAATCTTTTTTTAAAAAAATGTACCCAGTTCTATGCAAAAAATAAATAAATAAAAATTGAAGGTATTATGAATATAGCAACTATCCCCAAACCAGACTATGGTGTAAATTTTTTTAAAAAAATCCAGATAGGCTGAAGTGAAGTCAGCCAGTCATCAAAGGATGAACACTGTATAATTCCACTCACATAGGGATCAAAAGTCATCAAAGTTCTAGTATAGAGATTCACTAGGTGAATATATTTAGCATTACCAAACTAGGTACTCCAAAATACCTAGAATGTTCGATCTTCCACTATGTGTTTGTCACCACCATTGAAAAGGAAATAAAAGTAAAAGCCAATAAGCAGGTTTTACTCCTCAGTTGGAAAAAGAAAGAAGCAAGCATGTCTAGGAAAAATTTGAGGGGCAGATTAGTATTAAAATATACACACAGGGCCCTCCCTGG